GAGTAAATATTTGGAACAAGAAAGCTGCAGAGATTATGCAGTACACGACAGATGCTGTGATGGGCGAGAAGCTAGTGGAGAAATACATCACGAAGGATTATCAGGAGGCAGTGAGCAATGTGTTATCCGAGGCGCTGAACGGAGTCGAGACCGCCAACTTTGAATTTCCGTTGATCACAAAGGCTGGCCGTCGCGTGGAAATACTGCTAAATGCCACGCCGCGCTATAATGAGCACGGCGCTGTGATTGGGGTTGTTGGCATCGGCCAAGATATAACAAATCGAATCGCACAGGAGCAAGAGTATATGAGGCTGATTGATACTGCCAATGCTCCAATATTTGGAGTGGATTCGGATGGTCGTGTAAATATCTGGAATCGAAAAGCTGCTAATATTATGCAGTATACGAACGGTGATGTGTTAGGCAAGGATCTTGTTGCTGAATTTATTTCGGAAGAATATAAATTGCCTGTTCGGTGCGTGCTAGAAAAGGCATTTAAAGGTGTGGAGACAGCAAATTTTGAGTTTCCATTGATCACAAAGACTGGTCGGCGTGTGGAGATTCTATTGAATGCCACTCCACGTTATAACGAGCAAGGTGAGGTTATGGGCATGGTAGGAATTGGACAGGATATTACGGATCGTATCGCACAAGAAAAGGAGTACATGCGTCTGATTGACACAGCTAACGCTCCCATATTTGGGGTCGACTCAGATGGTCTGGTAAATATCTGGAATCGAAAGGCTGCCGATATCATGCAGTACACTACTGAAGACGTGCTAGGTAAAGATCTTGTCGCTGAATTCATTTCAGTAGAATACAAGATTCCTGTCCGCAGTGTCCTTGAAAAGGCATTCAAAGGAGTAGAGGCGGCCAACTTTGAGTTTCCTTTGATTACAAAAGCCGGTCGACGCGTTGAGATCCTTTTAAACGCCACACCTCGTTACAATGAACAAGGTGAAGTGATGGGTATGGTAGGCATTGGCCAGGATATCACTGATCGCATTGCTCAGGAGCAAGAATATAGTCGTTTGATCGACACAGCTAATGCTCCAATTTTCGGCGTGGATGCCAATATGTGTATAAATATATTAAATAACAAGGCTGCCCAAATCACAAATTATGCTTTCGAGGAAGTTGTAGGCGAGAAGTATGTTGAAACTTTTATTGCTCCGGAGTACCAAGCTATCGTTTATGAAATTATGTCGAAGGCATTGCATGGAGATGAAACGGCAAGTTTTGAGGTGCCAGTAATCACAAAAACCGGTCGAAAGCTCAATATTCTTCTGAATGCCACAGCTCGTTTTGACCAGCATGGCCATATTGTTGGTGTCGTGGGAATTGGTCAAGACATTACCGATCGAATTGCACAGGAGCAGGAATATGCACGACTGATTGACTCTGCCAATGCCCCCATCTTTGGCGTCGATGCGAACGGTCTCGTTAATATCTGGAATAAAAAAGCAGCTGAAATTACGCAGTACACGCCGACCGATGTTATGGGTGAGAATTTGGTGGAAAAGTTTATTACAGAGGATTACCGCAAAGCAGTTAGTCTTGTTCTATCGAAGGCGCTGGAAGGTATCGAAACAGCAAATTTCGAATTTCCGCTGGTGACAAAGTCTGGACGGCGCGTTGAAATTTTGCTGAATGCAACACCGAGAAACAATGAACACGGGGAAGTGATCGGCATGGTTGGCATTGGACAGGATATTACTGATCGGATTGCCCAAGAGAAGGAATACATGCGTCTTATCGACACAGCGAACGCCCCTATATTTGGCGTGGACTCGAATGGTCTTGTAAATATCTGGAATCGAAAAGCTGCAGATATCATGCAGTATACGACCGAAGATGTGTTGGGTGAGGATCTTGTGGCCAAATTTATCTCGGAAGAATATCGCGTAGCTGTTCGATGTGTACTAGAAAAGGCTTTTGAAGGGATAGAGACCGCTAACTTTGAGTTTCCGCTAATAACGAAGGCTGGCCGACGAGTGGAGATCTTGCTGAATGCTACGCCTCGTTACAATGAGCAAGGTGAAGTGATGGGAATGGTTGGCATTGGCCAGGACATTACAGATCGTATTGCACAGGAACAAGAGTATAGTCGTCTTATTGATACGGCAAATGCCCCAATTTTTGGCGTAGACGCAAATATGTGCGTGAACATTTTGAATAAGAAGGCAGCACAGATCACAAATTTTGCTTTGGATGAAGTGCAAGGAGAGAAGTATGTTGAGACGTTCATTGCTACTGAGTATCAAGCGATAGTGTATGAGATCATGTCAAATGCACTTCAGGGAAATGAAACGGCAAGCTTTGAGGTGCCCGTAATCACCAAGACTGGCCGTAAGCTTAACATTCTGCTAAATGCAACTGCCCGCTTCGATCAGCATGGGCATATTGTTGGAGTTGTAGGTATCGGCCAAGACATCACAGACCGAATTGCTCAGGAGCAAGAATATGCTAGATTAATAGATTCAGCTAATGCTCCAATTTTCGGGGTTGATGGTGATGGTCTCGTGAATATCTGGAATAAAAAAGCGGCTGAAATTACGCAACACGCGCCAGCTGATGTAATGGGTGAGAATCTGGTTGAGAAATTTATTACTGAAGACTATCGTGATGCCGTGAGTCTTGTATTGTCGAAGGCACTGGAAGGCATTGAAACCGCCAACTTTGAGTTCCCATTGATGACCAAGGGAGGAAGGCGAGTCGAGATTCTGCTTAATGCTACTTCGCGATTTAATGAACACGGAGAAGTCATTGGAATGGTTGGGATTGGTCAGGACATCACAGATCGTATTGCTCAGGAACAGGAGTACAGTCGCCTTATTGACACAGCCAATGCTCCTATATTCGGTGTTGACTCCAATGGCCGCGTTAACATCTGGAATCGGAAAGCTGCCGATATCATGCAGTATACAAATGAAGATGTGTTGGACAAGGATTTGGTTGCCGAATTTATCTCGGAAGAGTACAAGGTGCCTGTGCGAAGTGTGCTCGAAAAGGCGTTTGAGGGCGTTGAAACTGCAAACTTTGAATTTCCATTGATCACGAAAGCCGGTCGGCGTGTCGAAATTCTTCTGAATGCAACACCGCGTTATAATGAGCACGGCGAAGTTATGGGAATGGTTGGTATCGGTCAAGATATTACAGAGCGTATTGCCCAGGAGCAAGAGTACAGCCGTCTAATTGATACGGCAAATGCTCCGATATTTGGTGTAGATGCCAATTTGTGCGTAAACATCTGGAATAGAAAAGCTGCTCAGATCACAAATTATGCTATTGACGAAGTTATGGGCGAGAATCTTGTCGAGACGTTTATTTCTCCTGAGTTCCGACCAATCGTGGCTGAAGTGCTCTCGCAAGCGCTGAGGGGTGTCGAGACAGCAAACTTCGAGTTTCCGCTGATTACTCGTCCAGGCACACGCATCGAAATTTTGCTGAATGCGACACCGCGGTACGATACAGATGGCAGCATTGTCGGTGTTGTCGGTATTGGACAGGACATCACGGATCGCATTGCCCAAGAACACGAGTACTTTAGACTGATTGACACCGCAAATGCACCAATCTTCGGAATTGATACAAACGGCTGCATTAATGAGTGGAATCAAAAGATCGAAGAAATCACCGGCTACCACAAGTCCAGTGTGTTGGGTCTGTCGTTGGTACACACATTTATTATCCCAGAAAGTAGACAACAAGTTCGACAATTGCTTAATCAAGCGCTTATTGGAATTGACGTCGGTGAAATGGAGCTTCCGATGACAACAAAGCGTGGCGTGTTTCTGCTGCTTCTTGTAAATGCATCCAGTAAGAAAGACATGCACGGAAATATCCGTGGTGTGATCGGTGTGGGTCAAGATTACACGGCGAGGAAGCACATGGAAGCTGCCAAGGTGAATTTCTTAGCTTCGTTTAGTCACGAGCTACGAACGCCATTAAATGGTGTGCTGGGCATGCTTGAGCTATTAAAGGAGCAACCACTTGCAAAGGCCCCAGAACGATATGTGCATATGGCTTACGTGTCGGGCTCGCTTCTTCTAAACCTGATCAATGACATTTTGGACTTGTCCAAAATTGAAGCTGGGCACTTAGAACTTTCGGCTGCGCCGTTTCAAATGCACGAGCTACTCGACTATTCGATCGAAATTTTCAAGTTCAAGGCTCGAGAACGTGGCCTAAAACTCGAGCTTAAGTGTGACGATAACGTTCCTAAGGTTGCCATCGGCGATGTTGTGCGTCTACGTCAAGTATTGCTGAATTTGCTGTCGAATGCAATAAAGTTTACGAACGAAGGCTCTATCACAGTTACATGCAGTGTTGTGTACACCCCAGAGCTTCCGAAGGCATTTAAAAAGCTTTTGTTTCAAGTTATTGATACAGGAATCGGCATGGATGCTGAGGAAAAAATGCGTCTCTTCTCGCTATTTACAAAGCTGGAGCGTACTCGTCAGAACAATCCCACTGGATCTGGTTTGGGCCTTGCAATCTGTAAGCAACTTGCGGAGCTTATGGATGGTCAAATTGGAGTTGATAGTGAGTTGGATGTTGGCAGTAATTTTTATTTTACTGTGGTGGTCAGACTCCTTGATGATTTGGATGCAAAAGGTTTGTTTTACACCGCCAATGACTTACTCACTGATGCATCGGATGCTGCATCTCCTAATGAGGACATTTCAAATGTAAATTCGAATGACAGTGCAGCCAGCTCTGCGGCCGCGAATGGTGTGTTAAACTCAAAGGTTGTTATTCCCAAACAAGCAAGAATTTTGGTAGCTGAAGATAATGAATTCAACTGGGAGGTTGTGAAGTGCTTCCTTCAGGAAGCCGATCACTATTTACAGTGGGAAGTGAATGGTAAAGATGCATTTAATGCTTACACAGAGAATACTAGCAAGTTCGACCTGGTCTTTATGGACTGTGAGATGCCTGTTATGGATGGGTACACTGCCACGAAAGCAATTCGTCAATTTGAGCAGGACAACAACCTTCCACGCATTCCGATCCTCGGTTTAACGGCTTACGCCATGAGCGGGGACCGGCAAAAATGCCTGTTGTCTGGAATGGATGAATTTATGGTGAAGCCTATTTCGAAACACAGTTTGCTAAAGGCTATTCGTCAGTGGATGCGTATTCGCTATATTGGACCCAAAACGACCACTCCTTCCATTGTCGAATTGGATGACAACCCTTGTGATTTGCAAGATGTGAGTGCTGCTGCACCGGCTATAGGTGGGTCTATCGCTTCGCCGCTTTCATCTGGCATTCGCGAAAGTCAGTCGGACTTTGTACCTACATCATACCCAGCAACTTCTCCAACCCCACGTCAGTCGTTCGACAGTGAGGCTGATGATACCGATGTTTTTAACAATTCGCCCGGTGCGGGCCCGAGGCTTGCTCCTGCCTCGCGTCACATGCAGCAACTTGATCTGGCGCGCGCAATTTCAAATTTAGAGCTTGATGATCCGATGGCCATCCGACGTCAGATCGTGTCTACAGTGCGCACGGCAGTTCCTACAACATCAATTTTTAGTTTAGGTTCCTCAATTGGAAATAGTACACGTTCGAGTGGTTTGCTAACGCTCCAACGTGACACTGGGGGTGCCATTGTTGATATTCCTGACTGGAAACAAATTCACAAAACTTCTGCTACACTGCCAAATATGAAAGACAAGCCGATGGAAGGCACGGAAACTACAGAACACGTTTCTTCCCATAGTAACCCGACGCTATGGAGCCACCCGCCTTTTGTAGGATGCAAGAAAGACGCAACGTCACTTTCTACCTCTTCTCAGCACCCTTTGTCCCCTACCTCCACTAATGAAGTCAAATGTGCCCGTGGTAGAGCGGCGACTGATGCAGGTCAATTTGAAAACAAATCTCCGCGCTTGCAGCAGTTTGACGCAGACAAGATTTCTGACGAACACGTGACAGGAGGTCCGATTGCAGCACTGCTAGAGCGATTCATAACCAGCAGCCCAACAGCTATAATTGGCGCTAAAGGTTCGGGCACTGCTGATCGTTCGAGTGGCACATCAGAAAGCGAAGCCGCGATACGTGTAACCATGAATCCTGACAGTATTATCATCCCTGAGGGTGACCCTGTGGACTACTCCTTGGGTGTCAAACAATGTGGCAGCCAGGAAGATCTCTTTTTAAGCTTGCTTGAAAAATTTACTCTGAGTTCAGAAGCAATCATGTCACGAATCTTGGCAGCACATGAGCAAGGTGACATCGCGTTGACTCGGCGAGAGTCTCATTCACTGAAAGGATCGTCGGCTTATGTCGCTGCGACTCGGGTCTCTAAAGCTGCATTCCGTGTACAAGTTGCTTGTGAGCAGCTCCAGCAGTGCCAAGTAGAAACCAGCACGGGCCAAGATTTGGATGTGCACAGTGAGACTGTCGTGCTTTCCCTCAAGCAATCGCTGGAAGACTCAATCACCTTACTCAAAAGCGAGCACCGACATTTGCGCGGGTATCTTCGCCGCAACTTTGAATTTCGCGATTTATCTAGGAGTGAAAATGTTTCTACAGCTGCAGCGGCGAAGCACGTAAGAAATATATCACAAGAACACACCGACGGACCTTGCGGGATCATGTAGCATTGATTGACTCGCTTTAGTGTATGATACAATTTCACATACAATATTTCTATTGCTCGTCGAGGTTAGCCCTTGTCAGTAATTTTTAGCTTTTTCGCTGCAGCTACATAAATATCTTCACTATCATGTAATGTAAGCAGATTGAACATGTATCTATCACCATTGACATCTCATTCCCTTGGTTGGAGTATCTATATTTTTAGTGTTAAAAGATTTAACCAAACATTTCACAACAAGCTGACGGACAGCCATACAACACCAGTTTTTATACAAAATTTGACATAAAAATTAGCAAGAGTTGTCCACCACTTGTGAAGACTCCCATCAATTCCTGACATTGTTAGAGAAGCCGTGCCGTGTGTGAAGGTCAACATACTAAACAATCTTTTTCATGACCTAAAGTAAACACTCAAACCAATTCACTGGTTTGATTGCGTCTCGAAAAAGACTGTCTCCATGGAGAAATGCAGTGTCAGCGTGATTACACATCGACACATAAAATCGGTCTTTGTAGGTGCTGCCAAACTGAGATTCTGGTAGTCCACCTCGACAGCTTTCAAAAGTCACCACAGCATCATGTTCCTTTGTACCATGTTCAACACTGGAGCCAAAAAGCAGAAGTTCAGCCTGGTCCATTGAGACAACACCAATATCATCGTTGCTGCACATTACAGCTGACACATGTTTGCGGTACACGTTTTGAGCAGACAAGTACGCCCTGTTGAGATCAACGGTACTGTACTTGCCACCATTATATGCAATAGACTTCATTCCTGCACTAACAGGACATTTACCAATGACTCCCAAAATTTTACGAAAAGCCTGAGTATCATCGTCTGTGCAAACGTCCTGAACGTAGTTTGAAGCCATTGTGCCATTCATTGGCGCGCTCATGCTTACCCAAGTCGTGCTCTTATCAATACTACACTTGTCATTAGCGACCGCGCCTGCCACAATTAACGCTCCCATCGAGTGGGTCACGAGAATAGTGTCTTTAATTATACCTTTCTTTTCCTCGCTAGACTCGCTGATAGATAGAGCGTGCTTGCAAACCTCCTCCTGTAAGCTTTCATCGGTCCATCGACCATTGTACGTGTCAAGAGACGCATACTTAATAGATGTGCAGCATGGAGCGTGCTTGGTCATGTCGCCAAACATACCAGACTTGGTCTGGAGCTCCTTTTCAGGCTTGTTGTTTTTCTCGCCATGAATGAAAAGACACGGACGAGGAGTTGACTTGCACTTGCACGACTCGGAGCCAAAGCTCCACATTCCTGCTTCTGCCTTGAGAGCTCGCTGACGCTGGTTGGTTGACGAAGTGCTAGCGGAGACTGTGAGGATTAATAAAACGAAGGCCCACATCTCGGCACTAATGAGAAATAAACAAGAGCATAAATGACGAGTACCTATCCCATGATATCATACTACAGCAAATGGTCGAGTCAGACCTATTCTTTCAGAAACTAGCCAGATGATAGTACCCAGTTGTCAAATATTCGACTATGCCAAGTATTCATTAAAAAAGGCACCTTTGAGACACTTTGACCTTGACCTTTTAGTGCGTAGACGAAATTTCACTCTCTTCCTCTACTGATTCGTGCTATGAATTCCCTCCATTAAGTTGTAAGAACATTCGAATTTATATTTCTCTGGTTCCTTCTCTTCTATTTCGTCTTCGTGTTCTCCGACAATATTCCAGGCCACAATAATATTTGGGGCCCTTATTTTGAGTCTACGCAAGTAACATCTTTCGTGGTTATGTTTGCAAGAGTCTTGAGATGCTAAGATGACGAAAGCGTCATCTCAGCATCCAGAGCCTCCTTTCACTTATGTAGGAATTTAACAAGACAATCCTTGTCTTATTGTGGATGAGTAAAACCAAACAATCAATGAAAGGCAATGTGCAGCGGAGCTGCCGTAGCTTTGCGCTTAAGGAAGCGTCTTTAGGTCACCGACCTTT